ACCTCCACTTTGTCCACCACAAATCCCACTTGACCAGACCCGGGATCGAACCCGGGCAGTCGCGGTGGGAAGCAAGCGACTAACCGCTTGAGCTATGATATGGATACGGCCTGATATGGATTTTACTTACAATTTCAGAAGCTTTTTAAATCTTGAGAATTTTCCGTACGGAATTTATGAAGAATATTTATATGCTCTCACGCACTCACAGACGGGATCTCATGCTTTCATGCAAATTTGGAAATTCATCAGTAAGATTACATGAGAAGATTATGTTACAGTAGGATTTCTGCTGAATTTCAGTAAGTATTCTTTTGATAATACGTGCCATAATATTGGTTTTTTTATATCCATACGTGTCTTCATTTTGTAGGGAGTGCGCATAGTGCGTAGAGAAACGAACAAATTTAAAAATAGTGTGAAAATTATCCTGCGTTATACACATAAAGTCTGTACGATTTAAATGCATTCGTATGGAAGACGAGATAGCCATTAAAAATTTGAGTCTTAGAACTTGAAGGGAGGAAAAGACCTAGATATAGATGGGAGGGTCATATTAAAACAGATCTTAAGAATTAAGCCGTGAGGGTGTGGGCTGGATTAAACTGGCCCTGACCGTGACCCAGTTATGGAGGATTGCGAAAATAGCCATGAACCTCGGAAGTTCCAGAGGGGCTGCGTAGTTTCTTGATCAACTGCTTCGCGGAGTTGAAATGTTTGGATAATTGTCTACGGCTACCATCTAATGAAATCTTCAAAATCCGGAAGTTCTAAAACACCGATTAAACGTGTTCTAAATACTGCGGGAGCACATATTGTCGATCAAAGTCTGGTTCATGGTAGCATAAAAGATTTTTAACCACCGTCCAGTGTGACTGATAACAATTGTGTTTTTAATTTTTCATCCCTTACATGTTTCGGTCAAAACGACCCTCTTCAGAAGGATGTTATCAACACGTATGGAAACTACTATTACCACGTCAAAGATATAAATATTACATCTTTTAACTAATACTAAGATGTACATTGATTTATTAAAAAATCTAAAAATTACAATTAGTCTTTTAAAAAAGTTGTGTTCACTTAATTATACATGGAGCTGAGCCCTTCTTGAGGAGCCGCCATTTCTGCAGCTACTCAAAAATGTCTCAGCATTTTATGGAACCCAAAGGTTCATTACCATGTTCACATGAGCCCTCAGTATTTCTGTTTATTCTTAAATCACTTTGGTTTGTGTCGTTACACTTCTTCTGTTTAAGTCTGGGTTGTAGGATTTGAGGTTCTCACAAAGTTGGTTATGAAGAGTACTTTCTTCTGACATATAACGCAACATAGTCCGCTGAAAGCCAACCGACGAGCTGTGCTTGCCGCCTGATTCACGCTGGCATCTTGCTCGGTCTGTTTTCCGACCCTGAAGATGGAGGCGATATGTTCTTCCGAAAAGTCGGCTAAATTTCAACGGACTATACGGTGTTATATCCCAGAAGATCGTAGTCTTCAAAGCCTTGGTTGAGTTCTAGGAATTTTAATTATTGCTTATACAGGCCAACATGTGGATATTCTGTTCCCATTCCTGATGCTCTGTTCATAAGCTGCCCAGTACTGAATCAAACAAGACAAGCTAATGGTGATACAGAGTCATTATTTCCTCGAATTGTGTGTAATCTATTTCGGCGTTATTTAACATTCATACTTTTATCTTATGAATAGATGTTTTCTGCATTGTGTAATGAAATACTCATATTCCTTCAGTTCTAGGCTAATTCCGTAATATTCTTACCCCTAATACAAATGCAATATACACTTTTTGTTTTAATTGTCTTATTTCAAATTGAACATTTGTAATATACTTCGATGTTACTGTGGAAGTAAAGTTTTCATGAACAGTGATCTGCAAATGTTTTGAAAAATGGCAACTAAATTATATTAGTAGCGTACATTGTTTATCTTCCGTCAAAATTGCAACACTTTTACATTCTACACTTCAACACTACATGTTTCGACCTCAAACGGCCATCTTCAGGTGTTTTTATGTTACAGATATTTTAATAAAACTGTGTTAAAAGCTGCTACACTGTTTTAATTCGTGTGAAAAAGAGTGTAGCAGTTTTATAACAACTGGTAGATTTCACAGCAAAACATAGATCATAGGAGACCATCTTTTGGTCGAAACGTTTCTCGATAGGCTGAATATTCAAGAGAATATAAAAAAAATTGCCATACAGTGTGATATCTTCAAGAATATATTTTTGCCTGCAACAAATGAACATAAAGACAAATGCGATGCTGAATATGAAAGGACAAATATTGTCACACGTTAGAGTGACTCTCGACGGGTTTTGGTTTAGAGATTGGGTTTATTGACCACCTTAACACGCGACTCGTGACTGCACTTAATTATAGCTCCATCGCTGATATCCACACCTTACAAATCACTACAGCACACGCTAAGTCTTTTCAGTCTGATGTGTCTTCACCAGGGGTCTCCTGATAACGACTTTAAGAGTGGAAATTCTTCAGTTTCCGCGCTCAGTTCTTTACTGCCCGGCGAATATCCCACATCTCTCCCTTACAACTGACTCTGTTACAGCTGACAACTAACTTCCGAAGTCGAAGTCACATTGCGACTGACGGTCAGTCAGTCAGTAAATCTTGGTGTCGAGCCCCATCTGGGGCTCATGACCAGATATTTATTACTGTTTGACATTTACGGTCTTGCTTTTGTGGGGCGCCCTCTCTGACGAGAGGACGGATCTGTCTTCTATATATGCTGCTGGTCCTTGCCAGCGCAGTCTTTCTCGGGTCCGAGTCCCTTGAGACTCGCGACCATATTTTACTGTCTCAGATTTGCGGAGTCGTTACCAAGTAGCAGTCGCTTATACTTGCTTATTAAGAATCTCTCACATATCAGCGGATGTTTCATTGTCTGTTTGAGGTCGTTATACAGTAACGGGACTGCACACTACAATATAATCTTTTTAAACTAAATCAGAATGTAGTCCATTGGCGATCTTTCATATTAGCGATGCTGAATCTTCGGTTTCTATTTATTCCGCGTCTGCTTAATTCGTTATTCATAATTGCCATAACATAGAACGTTATACACATATAACGTATTCACTTAATAGCGTCCTTAAAACACGGTGCACCAGAGACGGAGAAGTTCAGCACGTATGCACCAGTTTCTGTTGGTAACCATGTTTGAAGTGAAATGTCACGTCATACGTCGGCTGCTATCGCCACCTGTGTCTTGACCTTGGAAGCATAATCACACGCGTGCATTACCCAGGACCAGTGATAGCAAACGAACGCGAAGTGAAGAGGGGTAGAGTGAGGTTATGTGCTCCGTCTGCAACGAGTAAGAGAAATGTTTAAAGTAGTAGTGGTAGTTTTTCCAGTAGTAGTAGTTTGTCCAGTTGGTGTTCCAGTATTCATAATTTAATTTAATATTTTATTGTATTCAATGTATTTTTGTAGTACTACATAGTATGAGAGATCTGTAGTTAGCATGCAACTTCGGTTGAAGGTTTACGAAATGAACTGAATTGAACATTTCTATTCAGTAGCTGTCAACATGGGTGCTACATAATTAGGGGAAATTTTTTAGCTGTTGAGAGAATTCCAGCACGGAATTAATTGTTTGATCTTAGTATCAGTTGGAACTACAAAATATTCAACGTTAGGATTTTGGATTTCTGGACTTGGACAGAGCAACATATATACACGTACTTTCGGAAATTGATTCCGTTTCCACCTTCAGGTGAAAAGCTGGGGACGCATCTACTTAGTTGGGTCCACTGTAAAGGGCCAATCGCAGTCGCTTAATGACGGAAACAGGTTTGGTTTCCGGAATGTTGTGTTTTGTCCAGAATACCGGACGATAAACTAAGTTCAGAAACCCAGCAGCCACAGATGTGATATACCATCGTCAGAATTGTTTGGAATTGAAATGCACAGCTGTATTTGATAGTTTTACATAATTAAACATTAAAGCCAAGGAAGTATCGTTAAAGTTTAAATATACCAGTAAATCATTCCACCTTTCAAGTATTAACTGTAATGAGGCAGTAGTTTGCTTATTTATTCTGAAATATTGGCTGCTTGCTGGGCAATTGTGCAGATAGAATATAGGTCTGCTTCTTCTTAAGATTTTGGTATGAGTTCAACATTCGATATTACGTGTTGCTGTGGATAAGCACAAACAAAAGGTTTAATTTTCTGCTGAATAAAATTAAGCAAGAAAGGGTTTATATAGTTTTGATTTCTGAGATATTTAACCGCAAACGTTAGGTGATGGAAGTATAGGCCTACTTTTGGTATGAGTTTAACATTCAATATTATATTTGAGTTGCTGTGGATGAGCACAAACAAAAGCCTTTACTTTCTGCTGAATAAAATTAAGCATGAAAGGGTTTATGTAGTTTTATATCAGAGATATTTAACGGCAAAACTTATAAATAAGATGTAAACACAACCTTGGACCGACTGGGAATTATGTGGAACAAAATAGTCTTGGTTTGTCTAAGTGGGCTATCCAGAAATACGTAAATATAAATAAAGATTAAATTACAAAACTATGATATTTGGACTATGTTAGAATAATATGAGTGAAGAAAAGTAAAGTAAAAATAAAGGAAAGCTATCCCTTTAACAGGCCATGGAGGCCCATAGGTTGTGAGAAATTGAGACTCTCACATCCGCTCTCAGATGGCGGTAAGATTGTCAGCCTTACGCTCCGACCGTCATTTATCCACTAGGAAAATTCCTGGTACTCATTTCTGTTAGAGGCTGTGTCGACCCCAAGGCCACAATGCGGCTGGAAGGGTTAGGTTAATTGAAAAAAATCCCATGACCTCATAGGGACTCGAACCCACGACCTTCCAGCTTGTATGATAGTGCCTCAACCAACTTGCTACAGAGTGAATTTAAAAAATATTTACTTCTTCATGGATATTTCACTTCTGTTGCCTCAGACTAGGCCCACTGGCCTTTTATGATTTCTTTATAATGAATCTTGGCAGGACTCCATCTAGGGGGATCGGTCCAACGAAAGACATCTTACCTACACAGAAAAACAAGCGCCTATATCTGTTCCCCTTGTAGAAATCGCGCTTGTGATTTTATTACCCGAGGGGTTCAAGACCACAGGTTGCTTACTCTGCGCAGCCACTAAGAATGGCTTCATGAATATTAAAACAGGACAGTTGTTTTTCTTGATCGTAGAGATTATTTTTAGAAATAATGTTCCATGTTGCGCTTCAAGTAAATACAGAACCTACTGCATAAGCATCATTCATGATAGAGAACTGTGCTGTTTCTTTATCACAACAAATTCTTCACTATGTAAGATTTGAGGCTTTCACGGCGGTGACTATGAAGAAAGCAGTCTTCTGGGATTTGGCACCGTGTATATGTGGTGTTAACCGACGTTTCGGAGGAACGTATCGCCTCCATCTTCAGGGTAGAAGAAAANTTTCGGGGACCGAGCTATCAGGGACTTCTGTAAACCGTAAATTATTTGGCTTTGTATGTTATTAAACCCGGTTTCGGAGCCGTGGTAGCACAGTCTGTATATTGACTACGCTATTGGCTGGATGACGAACCAGGATTCAATTCCCTGAAGGAGCAAGAGATTTTACTCTTCTGAACAAAATCCAGACTTACACTATAGCCTGGGCCACGCCCTAGCTCAAGCGGTTAGTCGCTGGCTTCCCATCGCGGCGGCCCGGGTTCGATCCCGAGTCTGGTCAAGTGGGATTTGTGGTGGAGAAAGTGGCGCTGGGACAGGCTTTCTCCGAGTACTTCGGTTTCCCCTACCAATCTTAATCCCAGCAATTGCTCCACAATCACCCTCACCTATCATCTGGGGCTGGTACAATAGGCCAGATGTGGCCGCAGTACAAGGGACTTAGTCCCACCCCACTAGCAATCAAAAATACACTATAGCCTTGTAAACCTCATGTCCTATAAGTACTTAAGAATGTGGGACATGTACCTCTACTTCCTGGCGTGACGCTGAATTACGCATAGGGGTAATGTTTTTCAGTCCGTACGTAGCTCTTTTTGCTTTCTTTTGTACTCCATTTCCTTTGGCTCTCCTTTCATCGCGGAAGGCTAAAGGGAATGCGTTTGCGGGGCTGGGACCCAGAATGCCTCTGACAAACGTCAACACCTTTTCACTTTAAAATGTCGTCTGTCGGATAGCAGGAAAGAGAGCAGCGCAAGTCAATTGATCCGAACCACTCCATGGGAGATTCCGTTCCATGTGTGTCAAGAATGACACCAAGCCGAAAACGTGCCAAAATATACCATAAGTAAGGGATATCTTGACATAAAGTTGAAAAGGTACCTTCACAGAAGAAAATAATTTCCGAAGACGTTTATGATGAAAGGCTGCTTTCACGTGGGATTTTAAAACATAAGCCCCTGTAAGTAGAAGAGAGACGAA